CTTTAAAAATAATCTAAAATGTCAGTATTCCATGGGTATATTGATAAATGAGTTCTAAATTACAAGAAAATGCATTTTCTACGGAAACTTGAAGAGATAGGTAAAATGGTATAATACAATTTGATAGACAATTAAATTGTGCATTTGATTATCATAAGATATATAGGGTGTTCCATTTAAATTAAACAAGTTATTGCCGTTTAAAGTTAGTAATTATTTAAAATAAATTTTTAGATACTCTGTATAAGGTAGTATAATTTTTATTATTGCAACACAATAATTGATAGTAAAATAAACTTCAGTAAATATTTAGCATTGAAAGCTTTGATACCCTCGGAGAAATGAAACCTTAACATTTTTACTGCAATTTTACAAAATTGAAAATATTTTAAAAACGGTAAGGTTGAAGTGTAATAAACCTTAGTCAAATTTACCTTTATTTTAATCATAGAAACTAAAAATGTAATAATATACAGAATGTTCCATTTAAAAAAATACAACTTTGATATTTTTTATTTATTTGGGACACTCTGTATCTTGTAAAAATATTTTTAAATTGTAGCTCTAATAATCCTTCAACGAACCCAAAACTTACAATTTGTAAAAATCTAGCCGTTTAGCTACAATACTCCGTGTCGTATGTGGTGAACAACCCTGTATATCTGGGATAACTAATACACAGCTCTGGATCTCTACTACCAGAAATCAAGAGAATAATTAAGTTAGCATTGAGTACTTCTGGAAGAAACTCAATCATATTCATATCTAGAATGCCACTTAATCTAAAGAAGAAAACATTTGACCAATGTGTACTACCAGTCATGATTTATGCATGCGAAACCTGGACACTTAAAATGGACATCATAAGGAAACTGCAGCTCGCACAACCCTCAATGGAACGAAATATGCTGGGAATAACCAAGAAAGACCGTAAAAGAATAGAGTGGATACGACAAAAGTCCCAGGTGATGTCATCCACAGAGTCAAATCCCTCAAATGGCAATGGGCAGGACACCTGGCAAGAAGAACGGACAACAGATAGACCACAAAAATTACAGCACGGTACCCACCACCCACGAGGTGTTAAGAGACCTAGAGAGAGACCTAGACAAGAGAGAACCTGAGATGGTGGACTTATTAGGAAATTAGCAGGGATAACTTGGGCCCGCATAGCCAACAATAGACAACAATGAGCCTATCCACAAAGAGAGTATGTGAGGGAGGCTACAACATAAATGGAAATTGTTGAATAAGCTGAAAATAATGATGATGATGTATGTATAGCCTGTGAAACGAATAACTTTGAATTTGACAGTTCCCGCGGGATTTTCTAGTGTTAATTTTATTAGGTTAGCAACTTGCGGCCATGCTGACGCAATGCCGTCTCTCATAGAACAGCTACGGAGCGAGATTTATGACGTCACGCTAACATAATTATTCCTTATATTTGACTATGGCTGAAATCGTACTCCATAGTCAACGTAGATAGTTTTAGTGTTAAGAATAATAATTTTAAGAAATATGTGGTCATCTTTTGACAAGTTTATATTAGTTTATTAATTGCAGTAAACATTATGTGGTTTGTGGTGTGAATATTTTATATGCAATTTTTTGGATTATATTCGACACTATTTTTTATATGACACAACACTGATGAAGGCTATAATGTTAGCCGAAACGTGTTTTTTAAACCCAAAAAAATAATGAAAAACCAAATGAAAACTTAATCGGTGTTTTTCCCGAACCTAAATCCCAAGAAAATCAAAAATTTTAGAATAATTATTATTAATTGCAGTAAATATTATGTGGTTTGTGGTGTGAATATTTTATATGCAATTTTTTGGATTATATTCGACACTATTTTTTATATGACACAACACTGATGAAGGCTATAATGTTAGCCGAAACGTGTTTTTTAAACCCAAAAAAATAATGAAAAACCAAATGAAAACTTAATCGGCGTTTTTCCCGAACCTAAATCCCAAGAAAATCAAAAATTTTAGAATAATTATTATTTATCACTATTAGTATAATATATTGAATGTTTTTTGTTAAATTAGATCGATTTTCAAACCCCAAAATTTAAAATATATTTTACATTTTACCCATTATCTTATGTACCTATTCATTATTTGTATATTGTAAAACATTTGCTGCATTTGTATGGTTCATAGTTCATTTGCCAAAGTATAATATACCTATTTATTACTATAAATAGGTATATATTATATTTATTAACTGTATATTATGTATATTTCATGTAAACTATATCATTTTTAAAATACAAACCAAAAATACGAGGAATAATAATTATGTTTTCTATGTATTCTACAACATATTTATTAATTTGTATCTAATTAGCGTGACGTCATAAATCTCGCTCCGAGGCTGTTCTATCAGAGACGGCATTAGTCTGTATTTAGAAATGTCAAAAGCTGATGACATTTTACTTTTGACAATTATGCAATTTCTTGTTGATTTTTGCAAGAAGAGGAAGAACTGTCACTTGTTTTATTATTTTCCTTTTCTATTTCACGAAAGTAAAAAGAGTTACCTATCTGATTCGTTCAGGCACTCAATTTAAAGAATACTTAAAGAATATCAGTAACTTTTTTGATAGAGGGATTTTATATTTGCCATGTTGGTAAAAAATAACGGTCAAAATTCAAAGTTATTCATTTTATAGACTATATACATATGCATAATATACTCTATATGTATAGAGGGGAGTGGATATTCCTCTTTTATTTGACACATAGGTACTAGGTTGTAACGCAGATATTTTAGTTATATTACACATTAAATTAAGGACTGTAAAGAAACATTTAAAGCTTGTTTCGTTTGACAGTTTCTTCTAAAATTCGCTATATTTAATTTCGTTAAAATATAAGATTTTTTTATTTATTTCTTATAGAATAAACTCAGGCATCACCTGTATCTAATTTTCATAGCAATGTAAATTTATATGTACATATTGCTAAAAGCACAATTACATTCAGACTATACTAATTAGCGATTCAAAGGAGATTATTGACACTACATATTAACGCTTTTTTAAAACTATTTCGATATATACATAATTAATTGTCTTGTGTATATTAATTGTATCTCGAACACAATGATGGCATTGTAAATAACGACAACACCTTGATAATTGAGGACTAAAGTGGTTAGCAGAAAGCACCGCACTGAATATGTTTTTATAATTCGTGGTAATTGTTTGGTACCAACAATTCGTTTAATATCTGCTTGTTAACGTAGTTACTACTATTAATAAATTATATTAATTGCGAGCTACCTAATGTTACCTTGATATGATTGATCCTTATCTATGTGTTTATAGGTTTAGATTTTATTGATACAGTACTGAGTTGTAAAAGACATAAAACTGGGCGAAACTTTGAAATACCCTGTGAAATGGTTTAACAAAGTAAAGAGTTTAAAAACTACTTTATCACGAAGGTGAATCTTTTCTTGATATACTCTGTTTTATGGCTCTGTTTTTTTTCTCAGGTAAGATTTCGACAGACGATGACAGAAGAAAAGCAAATGACGTCCCATACCAATCTATTTATTTTACTAAAAAAAGTTTCTAATAATTTTTAAGTTAACTATGGATGGGTTTAAATATAAATTCGTCATGCGTCGTCATTTGTTGTTTTTAACCAGTTTTATTGGCTTATTTCAAAAATGACAGATCGTATTTCAATTTTATTGGTTTGACGGAACGATGAACGACAAACGGACGCCGATGCGTATGAAGTCGCCTTTAGATTTTTGACGTTTGTCAAAGTCTTGCCAAATTATAGGTTATAATTTTGTGACAACTTTTGTCAAATACCCTGCGTTTTGGAAGATGATGCATTTTGATTCGTGTTATTACGTGTGTTTACTGTCTTTTGAAGTCAAGTGGAGGAAAAATCGAGTGAAAATTAACTGTAGATCCCAGAGCACAGTTTATGGTTAATACTCGCTGCCCAGGCAGAAAGTCTTATACAGATACACCAATAAAGTTACTATCAATAAAGTTCGTATACCATCTCGTCGTAGGTAAGTGCATCTCGAATATGGTAGAAAGACCATACTAAACACATACTAAAAACTTGAGTAGCTGTAAAATATCGACATAACACGATAGGTAAATAATGGATTTTAGTACTGCAGAAAAATAATGTCAAAAGGTACTGGTTTAAAAAAAATTAAGATTAATGTTAATTAATCAACCTGTGAGGTATAAAATTTGGTAAGTGTTATTATTAATAAAATAGTTTGTTTTATTTATGTTATTTTATTTATTCCTGCGGAATATTACAAATTTGTATTTGTACATAAGTTATATTGATAAATATAATCATAAATGCGGGAAGTTTCATAAAGCGTGAAAGTAAGAAATAGTTCATTTTTATATTTTTTGGTATGTGGTGGTCTTGTTTTTGTTTGTTTTGTATTAACACATACCGTTTTTTATTAAATAAAATAACTCGATAACATTTTTTCAGTTTTATACAGTTTTTTTCACAATATTTTTTCACAAGTTACTTGTCAGTCAAATTTTAAATACATATATTAATTTCCTGCTATTTCTTGCTATGCGTTCCAGTTGTACCAACTTATTTCTTTGTAAAACAAAATAAACTACATTGAAATTAAAATGACAGACACATCTATCACTGTCAAGGATCTTCTCGTTGGACAGACTATAGTTTGTTTTTTGATTCATATCGATATCTTTCTTTTTGTTGGAGATATTCTAGGACTATCTGATCTGGTGGTAGAAATATTTTACCCTTGGTTGAGTGCTTTGAAGAAGTCAATCGGAGTTGGCCCTCAGCAAATCTGTGTGAATCCCATACCCCGATTGTAATCAATAACAATAGAAAATTTGAGATTTGAAATATTGACTATTAATCAGATATCAACTTATTGATTAACTAATATATCAATAATTTATATCAATTATTTTTCGGCGCTTGTACTAATAAATTCTTTTATATTTCCAGGAAGACGAAATATGGATATCCAGTGAAGATCTCAATACCGAAAATAGTTCAGACGACGAAAGACTGAAACTGAGGCATGCCTGTAAAAGGAAAACCAAAGTGAAGAACAGAAAACGATCATCTCCTAATATAAACGTTCAGAGACCGTCGATATCTTCGATTCCACCAGTTGCTGGTACTTCAAAAGACTTAGGTTGGTGATAAACGCTATTATGCCAGATTCTTTTGATAAAACCTTGACATTTTAATAAAACTAATAATAAACAAAAAGTACTTAATGTTATCTTTCTACATGAATCCGTCACATAGATTATAGAGTTAGATATTATTTAGTTATATATTTTATTATTTTTTCAGATAAAAAAACGAGATTTGGTAGGTTAGTATATGACATAAAATAGGATTGTTCGTGTTTCACCGGAAATGACTACACCTTTTGATTTTTAAATGGCACTCTCAGTATATTTTCTACTTTATTCGATAGAAAATGACACTCTGAATAGAAAAATATTTCATATATTTTGACATTTTCGCATATGGTTTATTTGAAATTGTAACATGCGATTCATAACGACAAGTTGACTCGAAATACCGAGTGTGTGGTACCAAATTATTTGTAAAAAATTGCATTTTGGTTCAGATATGATTAAAAATACGATATTGGCATTTTTAACCGGCCAGGATAAGACAGGAAAAACATTAGACGATCAAAACTATTTTTCCAAGGCTCCTTGATTAAAAATTAGTATTTTTAGATTGAAAATACGATTTTTTTAAAGTGAAAATGTCAAAAGTTGATATATGATATGCCATTCTATTCAGAGTGTCATTTTATATGGAATAAAGTAAAAAAATACCGAGGGTGTCAGTTAAAAATCAGAAATTGTAAATTATTCTTATTTCCGGTAAAACCGGGAGTGACCAAAAACAATTGAATTCGTCAATTAATCCTAATTTATGTCATATACTAACATACCAAATCTCGTTTTTTATCTGAAAAAATAAAAAAGTCATAGGGGTAAACAGCAAAATGAAACACAAAATCACCACAATACACCAAAAATTTTTTACAAAAATACTTTTAAACTTTTGGACGCGCGTTTTGCTAACCATGTTAGCATCATCAGCAGATGATTAAGACTAAACTACTATCTACAATTTGAGCGTTTATATACCCGCTCAGTGGGCACCGAGTGGGTGTGGCAAGTTCTAGCCAGCCCAGTCAGAGCCCACCGAGCGTAACAATTAAATTTCCGCAACTAGAGTAGTAGGAACAGAGAACTGGACCGTTGTCTCTGTTCATACTATCTATACAATTATTAATTCTGATGCTTTCATATGCATCTAATTGCCTGTAATTTGAGACTTGTTTAATTAATTTTCAATTATTAAGATCTATATAATGTTCTTTATCAACTATATGTTCAGCAACGCAAGATTTATCCGGTCTACCATATCTTATCTGAGCTAAATGTTCTTTAAATCTAGTTAATATTGATCTTCTAGTTTGCCCAACATATTTCTCATTACAATCTTTACAAGAAATTTCATAAATGACTTTTCCAGTGGAGGTGTTTTATCCTTAGGATTACCTAATAGGGGTGAGCCATTTTCGAGACGCATCCGGTATTTCTTATTACGACCTTCTATGGAATACCAAGCAGCTATTTACATTTTTTTGACTTAATTTAGATGATCGACTGTTGGCGTCCAGACTGGAAGTACCGTCGTCACAATTGGACGAATCAAAGACATCGGATGAAGAGTACGCGCCCGTACCGTCGAACTACAACACGAAACGTATGAGCTTGGAGGACTGGCGACCTATGAAAGGTGCCTTGAACTTGACCTCCTTAGAAGAGGCAGCTGCCGGTAGGTCGATAGAAGTATGAAGGTTCCTCAGTATGTAGCGTTCTTGTATTGATTATTATACATAAGTAATTATTAGAGTACTTCAACCGTACAGGTTTCTGCGAGTTAACAATATAAAAACTTTAGCAGCTAAATAGTGACTACTAAAGTAATGATACCATATGATCGAAAAGAAAACGGCGTCAAAGACGGCTTTAATTAACATAAAACTTCAAATCATAACACTGATTTATCGAAAGACTAAAAAAGGCTAGAACGTTTCCAGACACACAAATATCTATCAAAAAAATTCTCCAATTTTAAAAATAATTTTTACTCAATATAAAAATGAATTACAACGTTCTCTCTCTTAAGGCTAACCAGCAGTAAGGGCCATTAAAAAATGAATGAGATAGTGTTGAATGAAATTTTTTTTTCGATCGTATGGATATGTATTATATTATGTCTGGCAAAGTCCAGAATTTGGAAGCGTATACTTACTGTAAAGGCTCCCATACACTTAGGTTTAAGTTGATACGTTTTTCCTTGAACGAGTAAGATGTAAGGCAAAACGTAATGTGTAGATGGGGCTTAGTAGTAATATCAAAGTTCATAAAAACTATTTCGAAGTGTTGCTATTGGAACTCTTAAGTATATTTATTTTTTCTCTAAATATATGAGATTGAGAGATATTATAGGTAGAAAAAGTCCATTTGAATTAAATAAATTATCAATTTGGGATCTGTTAATTATAAATATTATGATTGAGCATGCTGCCAAAAATATTATAGGTATTATATAATGTGAATAGAAATAATATCTGGGACCAATAAAATAACTCTGACGCACGATAGATTGACATTTAAATAATCTTTATGAAGCTAACATAAATGTAAAATTAGTATATATGTATTTATGTACCTGTTACATAGCTTTTTTAAACTCCAAATGACAATTACAATTTTAAATGAACTGTCAAATTATATACCATTGTACATACCTATTATATATTTACAACTAATTTTTAAAAGCGTTAACCTGCTAGTATTTTTTTACAATTTTATAACCAAGATTGGCTAATTTTAACAGGATGTCTCTACAGGGTTGTTCACAACATAGTACGACATGGAGTATTGTAGCTAAACGATTGGATTTTTACAAATTTTAAGTTTTGGGTTCGTTGAAGGACTATTAGAGCTACAATTTAGAAATAATTTTACAAGATACAGAGTGTCCCAAATAAGTAAAAAATGCTATAGTTGTATTTTTTTAAATGGAACACCCTGTATATTATTCTATTTTTAGATTCTACGATATGAATAAAGGTAAATTTTATTAAGGTTTATCACACTTAAACCTTACCGTTTTTGAAATATTTTCAATTTTGTGAAATTGCAGTAAAAATTTTAAGGCTTCATTTCTCCAAGGGTATCAAAGTTTTTAATACTAAATATTTACTGAAGTTTATTTATTGATCAGTTATTGTGTTGCAATAATAAAAATTATACTACCTTATACAGAGTGTCTAAAATTTTATTTTAAATACTTACTAGCTTTAAACGGCAATAACTTGTTTAATTTAAATGGAACGCACTATATATTTCAGGAGAATCAGATGCATAATTTAATTGTCTATCAAATTGTATTCTACCACTTTTTACCTATCCCTTCAAGGTTTCGTAGAAAATGCAGTTTTTTATCATTTAGACCTCATTTATCAATATACCCATGGAATATTGACATTTTAGATTGTTTTTAAAGCAACAAATGTACAAAATGTACAGGCTAGTAATATTATCGTTTTTAGCAAAATGATAATATTACTAGCCCATTTGTATGCAAAAAGAAAACTATTTAAATCTTCATAAGAGTATACCATTAATTATATATACCACCATTATTTCCGCCCAAATACTAATTAATTACATACTTAATTATATTCGTGAATAAATTATTCTAAATAAATGTGGATTTGAATCAGAAATCAATATAATAATAAGTTATAAAAATGAATGTTTCTGTTGTTACAAATAAGCATTTGTCAAAAAATGAAATATCGTTTTTAAGGTGTTACTTTTTACCACACTGTCTAATACACATACATAATTCAGTTTTTTAGTATTTGTAGCAATTATTACTAATCAACGCAAACAGTCAATTAATGTAGTTTGAATACTGGAATCATATTAATTGGTCCTCTTTAACAAATATTTAAACAGTTTTTTTTTATTTTTTAATGAAATAAACGAACTATATCGACACTATTAGTATCTGTACTCTTTAAAAATTTGGTACATATTTAAAAATAATCTAAAATGTCAGTATTCCATGGGTATATTGATAAATGAGTTTTAAATTACAAGAAACTGCATTTTCTACGGAAACTTGAAGAGATAGGTAAAAAATACCACACTGTTGTGACACTGTCTAATACACATAAAAAATTTAGTTTTTTAGTTTTTGGAGCAATTATTATTAATCAACGCAAACAGTCAATTAATGTAATTTGAATACTGGAATACAACTTTGATATTTTTTATTTATTTGGGACACTCTGTATCTTGTAAAAATATTTTTAAATTGTAGCTCTAATAGTCCTTCAACGAACCCAAAACTTGTAAAAATCTAATCGTTTAGCTACAATACTCCGTGTCGTATGTGGTGAACAACCCTATATATTATTTGTATGTATATAATGTATGTATATAATGTAGTGTTTTTTATATGATCGCTATTTTTTTCGGACATAGTGTACAAAAAAATTAAAAAAAAACTATACATATAAAAAAGATATTTAATTTTAAATAGTTCCTAGTTTTTATATTCAGAATGATGTTTAAAATGCGGTTCATCATTGTGAATATAAATAGAATGATATTATATGGTTGATTGAAGAATCTTTCAATCAACGATTATATATTCAAATTATTTACAACGAGAAATAAATATGTATGAATTTCGGAAATTATTGAATATTTTTTCTGAATTAAAATATCTAAAGTCAATCTTCCATCATTGCTATACTGGCAAAATTGTTATGATTTCTAATTAGAATTTTAGTTATTTGTGATAATAGAATTATACAGTTGCTATTTTAAGGCTAATGTCGTGTTTTCATATAATATCGTATTTTAAGATTTTTTCTAATTATATGTAATAATAATTTTTTTGTTAAATTATGTAGTTATATAACACTTTCAGTTCAATGAAAAATTGTATTTCTTTGTTTTAAACACTCAAGGATGTATTGTCTTAAGATCATTATCCAGAAAGAAAAAAATATATTGAAATATTAATCACCTAAAAATACACAATCTTGTTTTTTGCCTAGATCCGTTAACACATTCCTTTTCCTACTAAAGAAAAAAAATATACCGATTGGCCGACTATTTGATTGCATGCGTGCGCAGCTTGATAAGAATATATTGGTTGGAATACCCTCCAGAACAAAATAGATTGAACATTAAAATGCACGAAAATTTTAAGGTGTAATTTTCCTGCTGGTCAGATGTATTTTACAAAGTATAATTTACAAAAACAACTATGCATATAAGTCAATGCTTATACAAAAAAGTGAAACAAAGAGTGAATATGAAAAAATTGGTAAAATTATAGTTTATTACTTAAGGTTTTATCTTTTTTTTATGTAAATGAAATTGATGCACATCAGCATATACAAACATGACAAAAGGGTCTTTCTAAAGAAGTGTTTTTCAATAGGTCTGCGCAGTCTCGCGATGATGTTGACTTTTGCTGTATTGTTCTACTATGGTGACAATATATTAGTTTAAAGTCCATTAATAACGAAATTATGCATACAAAATGTTGCAAATTTGTTGGTTTTGTTTTAAAAAATGGAAGTGTTTTTTTATAAAATAACAATCACCTTATTGAATAAATTGACTCAAATTGCTAAACGATTACACTTTTTTGTAAAACGTTTTCTATTCCATTTTAGGTCAGTTTTACTTGACATACTTTGTTTAGCAGAAAAATCGAGAAAATTGGTTAAACGTTTCTAATTAGCCGTCTCATTACGGTTGCCATTCCATGCCGTTTTTTTCTATAATTAATACATATTTGTCCATCCTGACTAGGTTAAGCAAAAAGATCACGTTTAGACTAGTGTAATAAAATTACGCAGACGAATCAATCAAAAGTATTTTTAAAGTAAAGAAAAAACTATTTGGTAATATTAATTAATTATCGTCATTCAAAACACTACATAGTAATAATTAAATGTTGTGGTATTTAGTATTTACATTTAAATTAGTAACGCATTAAACAAGAATTGTATGTAATTCTGTAGATAATATTTATATAATGATATAGGGGACAGTAGAATAAAACCGTACCGCCCAAGCAGCATTTGGACGTCGGGACAACGTTGTGTCACGCGACCAAACGTCGGGGCGCAACGTCGGCACAACCTCGTGCCAACCCTAGTCTGCACTAGTTTGGAGAATAATTTTCGGGTCGAAACGACGTTGGATACCGACGTTGGCTAGAAGCCTAATTTAGTACAAACTGCAACGTTGTTTAAAATCCTAATTCACAGAAATACATAACTAATATGGCGTCTAAGTCGCGTTTTATCCTAAATTGGGATAATTATAGTAAAAATATTATTTTTATGATTTAGTTAGAGACATATATGTCAGATGGCAGTGAAGGAAAACAAAACAAAAGTATTTAAGTGTGGAGGATGTTTGAAGATCATAATTATTGAAACACTTTAACCGACTCTGTAACTCGTTACCCAAGGCAAAAAAGTTAAATGCAAACAATTTTATTGATAAATGTATTGTTTCTACTTTGAAAAATACTAATGGGCCTTAAAATTAAAGAAGTTTTAAAAATTTTCTTGAATTCTTTTTTAGTAAAATGAGAATAATTTATTCGCAGTCGAAAAAATTGTTTCCGCGTGTTTTTTAGGGTCAAATATTTCAAGTTAATGTATTCAAAAAGCAGGAATTGCTATTTTAGGAACGAAACATTTTTTTATTTAACAACATGGCGGCTTTCACTTTGTTGTTCTGGAGATTAAGATGGAGTAGTTCGAGTAGTCGCAAGTCGCATACTGGACTAATAAAGTCGCAGTTCGGCCTTAACAGGTAGTATACTAGTCGCAAGATTGCCTAATTTAGTCATCCTAGAGTCTAGCTTGTGCCGCCCTCTATAATCTAAATAAACGAGGGAGTGGATAAACTATCGGTAATATATGTCGATGAATATTTAAATTTAGTTTTATATGTACCTTTCTTATGTCCCATTTAAATTAAGTATTTTTCTATAAAAACAAAAACAGCACTGAACTGTCTGACTTAACAGATCAATGAAGTGAAAATTTAAGATTTAAGGTTATGGTTCAATACAGTTGCAAAAAGGTAGTGACTCGACGTCCTACCAACGTAAGAATAAGGAAATCTAAACAACGTTGGAATTAGTAAAACAGACGACATTTGCATAACGTTGGAATAGGTCCTGAAACTGACGTCGGAAAACTCTATATTGTCCAACGTTGTAACTACGTTGTCCGAATCACCTAAAGATCGCTTAAGCAAAAAAGGTTACAAGACAAAGTTTATTCGACGTCGCAGAAGCTTCTACTTTGCTGTAGTACTAGTCCAACGTCGGCACAACGTTATAAAAACGTTTAAATTTATTTTAGTATCCAAGGTAAGGAGCTAACTATTTTTTGTAACTAATCCAACGTTGTGTTTAGTAAACATGTGATCGCAAGTCGTGAAAATGCTACTTGGGCGCCTTGTACAAAAGTTAAAAAAATGCTAAATTTTTTGGTCTGGGTAGTTGTGAGGACTGGGAGTTGTATTAGCATTATATTAACAGAAATATAAGTTTTTCAAAATCATTGCAAATAGTACGATCCGGTTGCCGAAATCGTACTACTAGGCTTCCTATATCTATCGTACCATCTGAAATATATCTACATATTTATACTTAACCATAATATTAAAGAGGTTTCCCATCAGGCTTATCAATAAATATCATAAACTCATCTCTTCTGGACCATTCTTTTTATCTGCTTTTACGACTACTATTGTCAGTTCAGTGTGCAGATCAACATGTACCTCAAATCAACAATTGTGTGAACATTGCTGTCTACAAGCCAAAAACTACCCATCCAAAATCCATTTGTAGCACTTGCTGTACTTGCAGATTTAAAAGACGTAAAAGAGTCGCTACTTTCCTAAACTGTGCTGGTACTTGTACAAATTGAGCAACTTAACCATACAGAGGCATCGTTTAGACAACATTATTAAAAATTCTTCTTCTTCGTCTTCTTTTTTCTCTAACCATTGTTTTCCTGCCCTTGTTTTGACGTCATGGACCCATCTCTTTTTTGGTCGGCCCACACCTCTTGTAGTTCCCTTTGGTCTTCATAGTATGACTTTTTGGGGCAATCAGTCTGGACCCTGTTATGCCACATGTCTTAAGCTACGGTATACGTAAACGCAGGTAGGATGACGCTGTCCTATGCCTTTTTCTTTAGGTTGATGGGCACCTTTTGATCTTCGAAAATATCACTCATATTCCAAATGGATCCTGCGCCGAATCTCCGTATTTTGGTTCTCTTTACCCAGCTTGATTTTGTAATGATCTACATTTTTAATAACAACGTTGTCTACGGTAATGTTATGGCTATTGTTGCTCATTATCTTATTGGTCGTATTTAAGTTCATTTTAAGGCCTATTTTCTGGTATTAGTCATTTAGTTACTTTAGCATGGTGTTCAGTTATTGAACATCGGTGCTCAGCAAGACTATATCGTCTGCGAATCTAAGAGGGCTAAGGTGTACCCTATCGATATTTAAACCTCTTCCCATTTAGACCTCGCCAATGCAATAATTATTATAAACCAGATATTGAAGAGGTACGATTTATGAGATGGTACTGTATTAGGCCTTTCCCCTAATAACTAAAAATTGTGGTATTTACCTTTAAAATAATAATGTAAATATTAATAAATTGTATATAATTTTATATATATAAAATTTATTTAATGATATACTAATCGCAGCATACTAATTTGCTATATTTGTTTACAGTGATACTTGAAAATTAAAAAAATATATGTATGTACCTATGTAGTTGTGTGTTTCGCAAGGCTAAATTTTATTAAGTTATTGTTTCTGTTTGTTAGGAAATTAATAATTACTGCAGCGTTTGCGTGATATATCCAATAAATTTTTATGAAAAAATAACTCACATTTTACAAAAACAATTCGGTGTAACTATGATTCATTTAGAATTAGTGTATTTATTTAAAATTGAATAAAGACTTACCAAATGAACATAAATTACTTAATTTTAAATAAACTTTCAAATTATACTTGTACGTCGTTTTATAATTTCTTATAGAAGCAAAAAGCGTAAAAAATTTCCTTCTTCAAGTTATCCAGATGTTACATTGTTATTTATTATTTCCGATATTTGGTTTTAATTCTTTTCAACTTTAAAGATTATTTGTTCACTTAGTATCTTATACACTCTTACAACATCTTTACTTATCTAAATTGTAGGAAAACGCGAAATAGAAAAAAAAATGCATTCACTTCCCGATTTTTATTTTATATATCCATTTACACCCTGTATTTTAGAAATATACTATAGAGGATAGAGGGTGATTCACGGCGATTGTAGGTTAGACCTTTAATAAGAACCGAATTGCCGGTGATAGGATTTTTTTAAAATTTGTATTATTACATAAAGGCGCCTGCTCCATCTATTTAAATTATTTTCAGCGTGACATATTGTTGCTGCATCATTTAAGAAGTAGTAGTATATTTGTAATCTTAAATGGAATATCAGGTATGTTATTAAATTTCTGGAAACGACCTTCATATTCTCCTAATTTTTCTATATACTGTAATATACCTTTTGCTAGTAGGTTTTGAGATAAAAAGTATCTATAACATGTGTAAAATTAACAAAAACATGCTCTTGAATAAGCAATGGTAAAATCATGAATTGAGCATATTTACAGTTGAAATTTGAATTATAGGGTAAGGAAAGTTGATATATTCGATCAGTCATAAGGAAACGATTAGATATTACCACATGTTTTTTTTATAGTAGAAAAACTATGGAAAATGGAAGCAGTTTCGTAAAATGTAATAATATACTCGGTGTTCTATTTTAAACAACATAAATACTACTATTTTTAACTACTACTATTACTACTATTCATGTATAAGAATCGCTTTTAAAACGTTCTTCGACGTTGTGTGGTGCCTAGGCGCCATTGATTTCATTCATTCCAGTCTCCGCCACGCAGATCCCTTGAGCTCATCGCCTTCTTGACACCTTCCACACAGTTTGTCCTTGGTCTTCCCTGTTTCCTTCTCTTTTGTGAAAGCCAGTTTAGTACCTTCAGAGGCAGTCGCGTGTTGTCCATCCTTCTCACATGTCCATACCACTTCAGTTGGACACTCGATCTCTATTTTCTCTACTATAGTTTTTTGTCTAACCATTTTGTCCCTGATTGTTTCAATTCGTACTCTGTCCAGCCTTGATATTCGTGCTGATCTCCTTAACGCGTCCATTTCTACCGCCAGTAATTTTCTTTTGTTATTCTCTGTTAACATCATAAATCTTTAGTTTTCTGTCTTTACCTATTTCGTTACTCCAGAGCCAGAGTATCTTATTCAGACATTTTATTGCATTTCTGGCCTTGACTATTCTCGAGCTTATTTCGTTGTCGTCTTTCCCGGATTTATCGAAAGTAACGCCTAGGTATTTGTATTCGTTACATGTTTGTATGTATTCATTATCCAGTTTTATTGCTGTTTCATCCGATTCCCCAAACTTGGTATTCCTCTTTAAGTTTTCGTGTCATAAATTCCACAACACAAATACTACTATTTTTAACTACTACTATTATTACTATTTACTACTATTATACTACTATACTACTACTACTACTACTATGCTACTATTTAAAATAACACAAATAGTACTATTGTAATTTAGATGGATGAAGCAGTTTGTAAAAATCCAAATTTTCAAAAAAATTAAAGAATACTTAGAATTAAAGAATACCGACAGCGATTATAGGTTCACCGCCGTAAGTCACTCTGTATATAAATATACTTGAACAATATCCAGCTTAGATAATTGAATTTTGACGTAAAAGAGATCCATCGTCAAAATTAATATAGCCCTTATTACGATTCACGAGTACGAACACATTTTTAATGCCATTTTAATAAAAGTTTGTAAACATTTTCGATAGAGAACCGTGTCCCGAAGATGTCCTATCCCGAAAACTTTTACGAAGGGCTACTTGACAAGTTGCGATCCTTAAAATCCTGTTCCTCCCTGAAATCCCTTCGAAAAATATCGCCTCCCGAAAGAGCAACAGCCCCAGTCGATGGGAAAAGTTTCCAGTTTCTAAAGAATACGCCCGAAGTGAAGGCCACGCTGGATTTCATCAATAAGTTGGATGAGGAGATCGCCGATACGATTTGTAAATATAAGGTAAGCTCAGAGAGCTGCAACAAGTCAGTCATGACATGTCTTAAGTTATTTCTAAAACCAATATGATTTAAATCTTAAGTTAAGTTAATTTCAACATAAAGTTTAAATGACTTAAATCATTTCGTTTTCAAGTCAAATCATGTTTGTAAAGACTTAAATCAATATCATCATTATTTTCAGCTTATTTAACCATTTCCAATTATGGTCTAGTCTCCCTCATATACTCTCTTTGTATTTGGGCCCATTTTTGTCTATTGTTGGCTATGCAGATTAGGTCTCTTAATGCCTCGTGGATCCCATGTTGTAATTTTTGTGGTCCATCTGTTGTCCGTTCTTCTTGCTAGGTGTCCTGTCCATTGCCATTTGAGGGATTTGACTCTGTGGATGGCATCTATTATACTGTTTTTTTTTCTCGGGTAAGATTTCGACAGACGATGACAGAAAAAAGCGGATGACATCCATACCAATCCATTTATTTAACTAAAAAAGTTTTTAGTATTTTTTAAATTAGCTATGGATTAGTTTATAAATAAATACGTCATGCGTCGTCTCTTGTTTTTAACCAGTTTGTTGGCTAATTTAAAAAATGATAGATCATATTTCAATATTATTGGTTTGACGGAACGATGAACGATAAACGGACGCCGATGCGTATGAACCTTTGAATAAGAAGACTAGGGAAGGAGTATAATGCTATCCATGTATTCATGCATGGTGGGCGGAAAATGCACCATAAAAGCACTCTAGGGTGGGATCCTTGACAGTTTTGTTTGACGATTCATTTGACACATTTGAATTTGATTTGAAATTTTGTGGATTTGTCAGTCTTTACGGAGCTTATTTTATGTTATTTATTATTTATTCTACTACTGATAGTTGTATAAAGGTAGTAAATCTAGATGGAAATTGTGGCAGCACTTTAATTAACAGTGACACTATCGCGATTTATCGAAAAAGACTCTAAAATAGTTGGTTGTGTAGCATGCGGTAGATCTCGGCAAAAATTGAGTGAAATAATGGAACAACTTTTCGCTAGTAAGTGACTATATACTATACATACGTGTAGTAAACCGATCATTTATGAAATTCACTTAAATTAACTAAATTATATATTTTTCTTGCATTTTTGCTTTTATTTATTACTTGTCAAAGATTAGATGTCAAAGAATTTAGATACGTTAATTTGACTTACCTGCTTCAGTAGCGTATCGGATGTTTGTGGTAATAAATACTTATTATAACTTATCTATTTTTATTAGAATTATATATTTTTATAACAATTTTAATAACTACCAACATTTTATTCACAACGTAAAATAAAACAACAAATTATTGAGTCTACCTCACGTCTACCCTACATCATAGTTTTACATTTTTTAAATAAAATTAGAACGACACTGATAAACCGGAATTTAAGTCGGCCATATTTGAGGCCCATCGCGGTGTACCTAAGATTTTTGATATGCTCCTTCCTTAGTCTTCTTATTCAAAGTGTCAAATAGAAATGATAAATATTTTGCATTTTGGACTGTGTTGTTACTATGGACTGTGTAGTACACTCCATAGTTGTTACTTGTGTTTCGTGTTTTTTAAAATTAAGTGGAGGAAAACTCGAGGGAATTAAGTGTTGAGCCAGACCATAGTTTACAGTTAATATTCGGTGCCCAGAGACACAGAGAACTAGAGAGTTGTATTATTTACAAATGCAGTATTGGCTAAATAACGGAAAAGAGGCAACAGAATGGGGATGGAGCAAAAAAAAACGGATACCTTAGTTCCAAAAACAATGTCAAACGCAGTGGCACCAGAATTTGTATTGAAAATGATTTACTGTAGTTGCAAATCTGGATGTAATAAACTATGTACATGTTTAAAATCCATGTTCAAGCTTGTGTGGTAACTGCAATTTCTTGCGACAACAAACAAATATCGGTCGATGAAGAACAAATCGAATAAAATTGTAAACTTTCTAGAGATGACAATTTGAAAAGTTAGCTTACAAGTTGGTAACACATTTTTATTAAAATGGGCATACTTTAATTATTGTTGTTCGATTTGTAGGGGTGTATGTTTATAATGTATTTATCATAATGAAAAAGTGTTAAGATCGTAGATGATATTCATGTCAAAAAGACATTCGCAAATAAGCACTTTATTACATTTTATTTTTTTTCTTCCAACCTGTAGCCTAATTTTTTAAATTGTCACTGTATTTTTAAAAACAAGTTGTGGTTAGTACACATGTATTTAGTAAAGGATAGATATTACAATTTTTGTTAGTTTTAAAATATTATTAAACCACCAATAAATATTTCTTGAAAATGTTACAAGGATTGTATTTTAGTGGATATTGATGCTAAATATCTATGTTATTTTTTAATAAGCTTAATAAATTAGTAATTTGCATTTCGGTGATTCCTTTTTAAAATTGCTCGACTTTCAAAAATTTTTTGTACGTCACTGCGTTAGGATAATAAACTATTTTATATTGGTTCTGATAGAGTTTTTTATTCTCTTTAATTGTTACCTTTTGAGGTTTTGCGCTATAACGCACACCGTTTTCGAGTTATTTACATTTTTTCCCAAAAAGTACCAAAATTCAAGATGGCGGCCGATTTTTTTTGATGACGCACACACCGGACAAATGGGGGCTTTTAGTATGTTAATAAGGGATACTAATGCTAACTATTTTCAATGGTCGCAGCTTTCTAAAAATTTTTGCAAATTCAAAATTATTTGCACTGGCCTATATATAAAGTTGGTTAACTAACAATGCTAAAGTACAAAGCAACAAGTAGTTGCTTGTCAATCAAAATTTAAATATATTAGATATGCGTTCCAATTGTATAGTCTGTAAAACGAATAACTTTGAATTTGACAGTTCCCGCGGGCTTTTCTAGTGTTAATTTTATTAGGTTAGTAACTTGCGGCCATGCTGACGCAATGCCGTCTCTAATAGAACAGCCTCGGAACGAGATTTATGACGTCACGCTAGTTAGATACTACAGATTAATAAATATGTGGTAGAATACATGGAAAACATAATTATTCCTCGTATTTTTGGTTTGTATTTTAAAAATTATATAGTTTACATGAAATATACATAATATACAGTTAATAAATACAATATATATACCTATTTATAGTAATAAATACTTTGGCAGATAAACTATGAACCATACAAATGCAGCAAATGTTTTACAATATGGCTGAAATCGTACTCCATAGTCAAAGTAGATAGTTTATGTGTTAAGAATAATAATTTAAAAAAATATGTGGTCATCTTTTGACAAGTTTATATTTATATTAGTTTATTAATTGCAGTAAACATTATAATATATAAATAAATTTTGTGAATGCAAATAATAATACATCACTATTAGTAGATATTGAATGTGTTTTGTTAAATTAGATCGATTTTCGAACACCAAAATTTAAAATATATTTTACATTTTACCCATTATCTTATGTACCACCTATTCATTATTTGTATATTGTAAAACATTTGCTGCATTTGTATGGTTCATAGTTTATTTGCCAAAGTATTTATTACTATAAATAGGTATATATTATATTGTATTTACTAACTGTATATTATGTATATTTCTTGTAAACTATATCATTTTTAAAATACAAACTAAAAATACGAGGAATAATTATGTTTTCCATGTATTCTCCAACATATTTATTAATCCGTAGTATCTAACTAGCGTGACATCATAAATCTCGCTCCGAGGCTGTTCTATTAGAGACGGCATTGGTCTAATATTTAGAAATGTCAAAAGCTGATGACATTTTACTTTTGTCCATTATGACATTTCGTGTTGATTTTTGCAAGAAGAGAAAGTCACTTGTTTTATTATTTTCCTTTTCTATTTCACGAAAGTAAAAAGAGTTACCTATCTGATTCGTTCAGGCACTCAATTTAAAGAATATCAGTAACTGTTTTGACAGCGGGATTTTATATTTGCCATGTTGGTAAAAAATAACGGTCAAAATTCAAAGTTATTCATTTTATAGACTATACCAACTTATTTCTTTGTAAAATAAAATAAACTCCTTTGAAATTAAAATGACAGACACATCTATCACTGTCAAGGATTTTGTCGTTGGACAGAGTATAGGTGAGTTTTTTGTCGTATCCACTCTATACTTTTACGGTTTCTCTTGGTAATTCCTAGCACATTTTTTTAAATTGAGCGTTGTGCGACCTGCAGTTGCCACTTCATGTCCGTTTGAGTGTCCAGGTTTCGCATGCATAGGTCATGACTGGTAGTACACATTGGTCGAATGTTTTCTTCTTTAGATAGAGTGGCATTCTAAATTTGAATATGATTGAGTTTCTTCCGTAAGTACAACACGCTAACTTAATTCTTCTGTTGATTTCTGGTAGTAAAGATCCCGAGCGTGTGTATTAGTTGTCCTAAATCTATAATATATTCTTCTACTTGAATTCTTTGAATATATCTAAAATTAAATAATAGTTAAAACTAATTTAAATTTTAAAGACTCTTCTGTTATAGGAAAATTTAGTAATAAGCTGAAAAGACAAAACGATTTGAAACGTGTTAAAATTGAACATGTTTGTGAATCCCTTTTAGTATTTTTTCTTGTGACTCCCCTTGGTTGTTTATTTGAAATTAATTGCTTAATCATGATCTGAAATTAAAAAGAAACATTAATGTTATGTAGCCGAAAGCGATTCACGAACAAAACTGGTAGATCTTTAAAAATATATCTACACGTTTCTTATATCATACATGTTAATGCTGTATTTACATATTGATATAAAATATTTATGAACCTTGTGTGCATTGTATTTTAAGATTTGTAGAAAACAATTTCATATACTAAAAAAAAAAAAATAACGGGTAGTACGAAAAACGGGCGCACCTTAAAATATTGATGTTTTTTTAAGTTTAATATATTTTGTTCTAGTGGGCCAATTTTGATGATTTTTTAAATAATTTGTAGCTAATGTAAAAGGAATGTAAAAATCA